TCTGGTCTTGGGATGGTCTCGACTACAACACTGGTTAAGACATACAGAGCAACCAAACCAGAAGTGGCCAACTGAAACGACATTTTACCCGAACCATCAAAACGCATACAAACATTCTGCACCAAAATTACTGGTGATGTGTTGCCTAGCAGTGAGTATTGAAGCCCCCACAAGGCACACCGCTTGGGCCCGCATAAAACAAACAGCATGCACAAAAACTAATGCCTATGTACATGTTAAGTCAAAACACAGTGTACTAACCCAAAGACGTTTCATGTACATGAAAAACCAACTGTGTTTGCTCAACCAGTCATAAATAAAAGGGACAAATATGCTTACGTCTTCTTCTGTTACATACCTTTTACCATTTTGCTTTTGCACAGTGATAAAATGTAAATGACCCTAATAAATGTTCACATCAGACAATGACAATGACATGACAAACAATGACAGCCACTTTTTAAATCTACGGCGAGTGACAGCATGAGAATGACTGTGTAAGTATGGGATGACTCACAAAGTCATTGCCACCACGTTTGCAAAACTTTCTTCTTTTTAAAAAGCTGTGTCAAGTCCACATACGTGTCGTTCCGCAAACCTTCTCAGAAGTCTGGCTGGTTGTAACTTCCAAGGAGTCTCTCACGTTCCCGGTTCAGGCTGCGGAAGATGTGCTCCCGCTGGTGGTATTTGGCCAGCTTGACGACGGACAGGATGGAGATGACTGTCCACAGCAGCAGTTCCGTCCAGAGCCCAAACTACCATCGGAGAAAACAGAGCTACTTGTACGTAGTGCACTTAGACAGGGTTGTAGGCAAGACCATTACAAGACCGGACACAAGATTAGAAGGGTAAACCCCGGGCAATAACGAAGGATAATGGCTTGCAACTTGCATTCTGACTAGAGGTCTCGTGTCGGTCTCACAATGGTCTTCTGGTCTTCAGAGGTCTCAAGTAAAACACTGATCTGAGTAACATGATCGGGTATTATTTACTATTGCACGAGTACAAGTGGGAAAAAAAGAAACCACGGAATGCACCTGGGTGCCACGTACATGTGTCACTCAACTTTTGGCCTTGTGGCATGGGAGATGTGGATAAACTACATTATCCCACGATCCACAAGATGATGAATTTAAGTAAGTTGGATGCACTGGCACCGCTTTTGAATCCATGGTGCACCATGTAGCACTGAGCTGTTCCTCATAGGAGACGCAATATTCTTATCCCTGGGTACAACATGGCATGTGGACATACACATGGACTGCAGTCCATAGCCATGGATCATTCATGAAGGATCCAGAAATCTAGTCTGCTCGAAAAACGAAAATGTAACTGTGCTACCTGAACCACCTTCTTTTCCAACAAAAGAGAAGAGCAAAAAAAAAAAAAGGGCAAAAAAGATGCTACATATACATGTAAGCTGGCACTCCCCTTATAAAAAGGTTTCAGCTTCAGATCAATGCTGTCCTATCAACTGGTGACAATTTAGACACTCTGTAGCATGAGTGGTTGCTAAAATTGCGCATATTGCTCCAACTTTGACAAATATTCACAGTCTGCCCGCTGGTTCCCCTCAAAACTGTCTCTTTTCCTCAATTTCAACCCTTCTGCATTCCTGGATTCCTCCACTGCCCAGCTGGGACAAATACTCCCCCTACAAGACATGTGGACACCGCTCACTCTTTACCTGCACCATACCCAGCTCAACAGCATAGTTATCTGGCTTGATGCCCTTCAGATTCCCCCAAAGGTTGGTGATGAATCCGGCCACAGAGCACCTGCGGGAAGACAGAAACAACATCACAATGGGCTTGCCAACCTTGCTGCTTCTGTTTGGACCCGAGACCAAGACAGGTCCACCGAATGCTGAATGTACCGTGTATTACGCAGCAAAGATTGGACCTGTTTGGCAAGCCTTCCAGATTCCATGCACCATGTTTGTCTGCTTCGACTTACTCAGCCACTCTGTCGATGAGTTGGCACCAAACGCTGTAACCTTGTGTGACGTTGATTGCAGAGGCAAAGAGCATGATGGTCATGATGACATTGACCACAAATGTTCCAAACACACCGATGAATGAGCTATCAAAAGAATAAAAGGGATGAATTAGATGTTTTGAGAATTAAAACCAGTTGAGAGATAAAAGCCAGTACGGACAAAAGACAGTGTTTCAATGGATTGTCACTTGCTTTCAGTGCATTACATGTACATGTACAAGTAGATCTAGGAATAGGATAGCAAGGAAGGTGCATACATCAGGTGATAGAGTGAACATCGAAAATACATCCACTTCTGGGACAGGCTTTTGACTGTAATGTTCAGATTGTCCTGAAGTGACTCTGCAGGTTGTTCCAATTGTGTACGGTGCATGGACAAACCTGTCAAATTCAAATCTGAGTCCCAAACTCAGCCAGTCCTCTTTCAATTTGGCACTGTGTATATGAAGTTCATTCTATTAGCTCTAAGGGAGCTTGTCCAAAAGGTCACCGGGGTTAAGCCCTGGGTCCAATTGGCTTATCCGTCAAGTCAGACTTACTGACTGGTGATGAAACATGTTGAACATTTGTACAACCTTTGACACTGATGCCGGATATCGTGGAAAAGCTATCAAATGAGGGCGCCTGATAAGACGTTATGCACGAGTATGATGACCCGTGTACTGTGTATGTGAAGAGATGGCTGATAGGGGGAAGAGCAACGTAAGTCCAACTTGATTCAGGTCTAACAGTGGCATTATTAAACGGACTAACTCCCATTTTCTTAACATGGCCAGTTTGTTAGGCTATGCTGTTGATTGCCAAACACATCAAAGTACATCAGACTTTTTCGCCTGACGCACTGTGTTGCGTCTGGCAGGGTTGGGGTTAATTTGGAGTCTGATAGGTGACATTTTTTCTGTCTGTGTTAAACCTGATTTGTTGACACAGGATAAATCACTGATATTGACTTATTTTGTTTGGCAGGTTATCTGCAATACATGTGTATTCCATCACTCCTGGAAATTTAAAAAAGGTGTTTGAAACTTACAAAATCATATGCCAGACGAAATGACAGGAAAACATTTGACCCAAAATATACAGATGAGCCATCAGTACATATATTTGTGGGCAGACTGCACAATGGGACTCTATCTGGACTGAAAAGGGAACTTCTGTTTCTGAATGGCACACGTGCAGCATACTAAAAGGTTCACTTGCTGTATTTTGTAGAAACAGAAAACACCAGATGCAAGTGATGACCTAGGCATACATTACATGTACATGTAAAAATCATCCAGTCAAATCAATTAAAAACCGACAGTCACAAAAAACCCCCCAAAGATTAAAGGGATAGTTAACTGACAGCTCATCAGACAACCAGCATGGCTGATATAATAATGTTGAACAAAACGAATTTACTGACAAAAACCGACATGTCTCTGAGGCGAAATTTTGGGAAGTGGTTCCCTTGGTCAATAAAACATTTGGTACAAGTTCGTGGAAATATTTGATTTGTACATGGAGGCCTCTTGTATGGACTTACCTATCTGTCTCATAGTAGACATGGAAGGCCAACCTGACAATTTGTGTAATGGACACCAATAAGGCAAACACACCAATGGTGATGGCAAAGTTACAACCTGCAGCTGGTCCCCATGACTCGATAACAATTTCCTTAGTACCTTGCACAAAATGAATAAATCGACAGCAGTGAGCAAAATGATATTGAGGCCAAATTCTGGGCTGCCTAGTTCGCCACAACAGTCACACCAACATAAATGTACACACGCAGTCAAACCTCGTTAATAAGAGCACTGTCAATACAAGATTCTGCTTAAATAACAAGAAAAATTACAGGTCCGAATCCATTCTATTTCATTATTTTCATTCCTGGTAATAAAAGATTTCTGTTATAACAAGGTAATTTGCCAAGCCCAAAGGACCTCTTATTAATGAGGTTCCACTGTACATGTATATGTGTACTTGGCAGGGACGTTAAACGTGGTCAATTGAGATAAGTCCATTTTTCATCATTTAAGAAATCAGCTTTTAAAAATGATAAGCCCTGCCCAATTCTGTCCCACTTTCTCCAGACTGTCCATGTGTAGTCCTACTGGTATGCATTAATCTGCATACCTAAATCACCATCTACATGTACGCATCAGTGTACACGGAAGTCACAGATGCCTCAAGACAATCACAAGGCCATAACTACATGTACATGTAGTCTGAATTCAAGTCACAGGTAAAATCTATAATGGGACTTGCGTCTGGTCTTACAGACTGGTCTTGCCTTTGGTCTTGTACATGTACACACTGTCTTGTCACAGTCTCTCCGGCATCACTGATCTGATATACATGTATAGCCAGGCATGTGCTTGTGAACATACCTGAGATGTTGCCCTGTGCAAAAAGCAAGCAGTTCCCGGCAAACTCTCCATTCTTGTTGACAGCCATCGGTGCAAAGACAAAGAATGCGAAAATACTGCACATGACATACGCCGTCACCTGACAGAGCATGAGTATATTGCCGATACCCATGGCAGCAATTCATCTGTAAATGACCTTGCCAACTGAACTGTGAAAAAAAATCAGTACCGTATGTACGTACATATACATGATAAAGGCATTAATGTCATGATGTGTCATGCAGTCAGAACTGTCCACCTGGAAACCTAAAGCCCATAAATACACACAAACACATGTATGCATGCATGCAGCAGCAATATTCCTTGATGCATCAACTTTCTTTGTCATGTCTGTTATGCGCCCCAAACTGTGTTTCTACCACTCTCCAAATTTAAAATCCCCCATGACTTGACGAGCATGACGAGGAAAAGTCAGACTCATGATTTTTAAAAACAATTATCCTTACTTTCAGATTCGCTGAAATTGTCCAACGAATTATAAAAGCTTTCACCCTCTGTCTGCTTAAGTTGCAACTTACCAACTTAGTTGGATCTAGTTTTCAAGGCTAGTCAGTATAATATACTGTACATGTACATGTACACTGTACGTCATGTGCACATACGTACA